CAAATATCTTTAAAAAGGTTGTGAATTAAACTCAAAAATCAAGAACAGCTAAAGCTGAAGCTCACATTAATACTTATCTTGCTTGTCTGTACCAAATTAACTAGCTGACCTTTTCTAAGTATTATAATGTCAGAGTGATTGGCGTGCCAGACCTAAGATTTTATTTCTCCTTGTAGGGGATCTGACCTCTGGCTGGATATAGAGATCTGCTTTACATTGCATTTCCAGGATCAGGCACTTTTGTAGATACATGATTTCTGTATTTTTGTATTTAGAGAAAGAATATTCTAGATCACTCATTAACGAATTCATAAATAGTGTGTAATACACAGCTCGTTGCAGTTCATCACATTGATTCACTCTAGACTGTGGCGGTACTTTTCCCTCTCCATAACTGATGCTGAAACCAACTTCTTGTGCAAAGTCTTCTCTTACTTTTTCTACAGTTATGCCAAAGACAAAGTAGAAGGTTCTGCAAGTCAAGTGTGCTGGTTGTTAGCTTGGTTTTGCTTTAATTTTTCTGGATTCCCCCACACCACCACCATTTTTCCTCAAAGTCAACTTGAACTTGAAATGCTTCTCCTTTCCGTTACCTCTGTACCAGCAGTAGAAGGGAGGGACTAACCCAGCGGGCAGGTCCCACTCACTGCTGGGCTCTGGTGTGGCTGGCTGAGCCATCACCCTCCCAGCACGTACTGGCGTTTCAGCGGTCTGGTGCTAGTTGGCATCAGGATATCTGAGAGAGGAGGAGCAATGAGTACCAGAATACACATCCTGTTCTTAATTTCTTCTTTATCAAGTATGCTTTTATGTGTGATATCAAGAATTGAAACCAAATTATCCAGATTAAATCACTGACCCTCCTATGAGGACCTAATACAATTTCAAATACTTCTCCAAGGGATCCTAAAGCTGGAGAAGGTTACTCCAGGGGACTGGATTCAGACCTTTGTGTTTTCAATTGCCCTGCTGACCACAGCTTTCCGAAAGCACTACAGTCAGCTCAGTTTCCAGGGTCCAAAGCTCTGACTTTGGGGTGCTGTAAGACAAGCATAAACTTTCTGAAGTAAATGAGATACTGTGGTGTCTTCAGTAAATTTGGTCAGGAAATGGATCCTCTTTATTTTTAGTGTCTTCGTTTTCGGGGGAAAACAACAACAAACCAAACCAAATCCAGCCAAACAACCCCCAGATTTTTATATTAAAGAGGATCCCTTCTTTAACAAAAAAACTCTCAAAAATGTTAATGGATTTATTCTTTTTTATTAGTCTGTAGGCAATTTTTTAAAGTTATATTTGCTTAGGCAGTTGCTTTTTTTTCCATTTTAATTAAAAATAGTTTGCAAAATATTTTGACTAAATATATTCTTTAGGATGAGGAACATACAATGATTTGCTAAGTAGTTTTATTGTCTACAAGGATATTGGGGAAACAGCAGTTCCTCTTTAAGATCCCAATTTTCATGCATAAAACAGCTCAGAGGTTTCCATGGGCTGAGGGGTCTATCCCCATGAACTGTGCTGCATGATAGATTACAACTAGAAAAAAAAAATAAAATCTATGTTTTACAGAGAAGATTTTAGTGATTCAAGTTAATTCCATTAGCCTTAATAAGTCTGTTGTGACATTTTGATTTTATTATTTTTTTCATTTTTCTTCTGTACAAATGTTTAAGTTCCCAGTGTATATTCATAGTGTGGAATATACCATGTGTGACTGCTGTCTTACACCTCTGGAGATGGACAGCTGTTGATGAGAGGGCATCATATCATCTCACTAGTATGGTGGAAAAATGAATGGCAAATGTTCCGCAGGTCAGGTGCACCCTTGGAAGACGTGCCCTGCTGCCATGGTTTAACCCCAGCTGGCAGCTAGCACCATGCAGCCGCTCACTCCTCCCTGCCACCCTGCAGTGGGATGTGAAGGAGAATTGAACAAAAAAAGTAACCCTCATGAGAGGGCATCATATCATCTCACTAGTATGGTGGAAAAATGAATGGCAAATGTTCCGCAGGTCAGGTGCACCCTTGGAAGACGTGCCCTGCTGCCATGGTTTAACCCCAGCTGGCAGCTAGCACCATGCAGCCGCTCACTCCTCCCTGCCACCCTGCAGTGGGATGTGGAGGAGAATTGAACAAAAAAAGTAACCCTCATGGGTTAAGATAAAGACAGTTTAATAGGACAGCAAAGGAAGATAAAATAATAATAATAATAATGATAAAAGAATACACAAAATGAGTGATGCACAGTGCAATTGCTCACCACCCATTGACTGATGCCCAGCCCGTCCCCGAGTAGCAATCACCCTCCCGACCAGCTTCCCCCAAGTGCGTATACTGAACATGACGCCATATGCCATGGAATATCCCTTTGGCCACTTGGGGTCAGCTGTCCTGGCTGTGACCCTTCCCAGCTTCTTGAGCACACCCAGCCCCTTGCTGGCAGGGCAGAATGAGAAGCTGAAAAGTCCTTGACTTGGTATTAGCACTACTTAGCAACAACCAAAACATCAGTGTGTTATCAACACCACTCTCATTCCAAACCCAAAACACAGCCCTATACCAGCTACTAAGAAGAAAACTCATTCTATCCTAGCTGAAACCAGGACACTTGTGCATCAGAGAGTTATGCAACTACCTTTTTCTCAGGAGAAAAAGAAGTACTGGTGGCTCAAAATGGCAATTTCTACTAGATTTTCATTTAATGCTTTCTCTTCTGAGCTTCCTTTACTTAGCTAGAAAGCATTTTTCTCCTCAAGTAGTTATTATTAATGTGTTCTGTAGGTTTTCTTAAATAAAAAGTAATATTTGTACTTAAAGTTTACACCCACAGAAAATATTTTACTGGTATTAGTTAAAAAAAAAATGCAAGTCCCTAGCTGCAGCTAAGGTAATGTGGGTTGTATACAGTGTGATAGAGAACAAGGGCCATTCACTTTTAAACTCAAATATTATCGTTCAAATGTTGGGAAAACTGCATGGGAATTTTGGAAAAGGGTCTTCTGCCTTGTGTTAGGAAAACTGCTGTCAGTGTTAATTTTGTCAAGACACTAACCGACTCACTCCCAACAAATGGAGCAGTAAAAACAGCATGGGGAATTTATACTTTCCTAATTGCAACAGTGCAGCTCTTTTATGGGTCCGATGCCCAGGTCGCTTCCCCCAGGGACAACATGAAGTACGAGGATGCTCGTGCTAAAAACTCAGCCTTGATGGAGCGAGTCTCACACAGTGGAGACCACCTGGGAGCCCCGGGGCAGTGGAGCAGGATTCCAGGTGCACCAGAGAGAACAGGCGTCTGCTGGGGGGAATCGGGATACTTGTGACTCTTTGGAAACTGGAGGGGATCATTTGATGAACTGTGAACTCTAATACACCAGACTCCCAAAAGAGAAGTGATTTGAAGCAAGGACGAAGTACCGCATACCGAAAAGTGAAGCAAAGGCAGTGAGAGGCGGACGAAGCAGCCGGATCGAGGAGTGGTAATGGCTTACGGTGTGTTTGCCACAGCTGATGTATGTTTGTTTTCCGCTTCTCACCTCCCTGTGCAATCTCAGGCAGCACTCTGTACTCTGTCCTTGTTTATATTTGATGTTGCAGCAAGAAGACAAGGTGCCATTAGCTTTTACTCGAAAGGTCATATTGAAGTTATTTTCCTCTAATCTGAGGGATTTCAACCATAGCAAAGTAAAATACAATTTAAAAATCTGGCCTAAGCAACCTCCCTAACCCAATCATATCAAAAAGAAATGAAGTTAAACATTGAATTGTATATTGGACAATTACTGCAAAATTGCGCAACTCGCTTTTCAGTCACTGGTGTCAGTTTTTCTTTGTGCAAAAGAGAATGAATTCCTCCAAATTTAGGAAATTATCCTGAAAATTTCAGCTTGCCATTAACAAAAAACAGGTGTCAGGATATATTTTACCATTTATAAATCAGCATGCTGAAGGCATTTATTGTGAAGCACGTGGGTAAGCCTATCTCGGCTAGCAAATGTGTCGGGGTATCAGATGTGCCGCTGAGCTCCTGGGGATGGATGGAGATTCGGATGTCTCAGCTAAGCCATGGTGACCGACCCTAGATATGAGCTTTACCTGTCCTAAATACAGAATAATGTCCTAAGCATCGTAGGAAAAGGCTTTCCCCCACATTTGGGATGGGTTAAGAGAGCAAACCTTGTCATTTCAGCTTAGCTGAAATACTGTTACTTTTTAAGCTGCAGAAACTCAACTGCACAGCTGAGCCTTAAGTACCTTTTTGTAACTTCAAGCATAAGCTTACGTGGTTTGCTGAGACAGGGCTTACGTTTTGAAATTAATGCTAACATTTATGCATGTGCTTAGTTTTGGGCACTGTCAGTGCTCACACTGGACTTGAACTTATCCATTGAGGTGTAAAGAAGAAACAAACCTAGTGGGATAGTCTCCTGTGTAAATGTAATTCATAAATATTTGTATAATCAGGTCTGCAGGTTTGAATATGTCCTGTAGCTATTTTATGTCTTTGACAATGTTACCTGTTCATTTTGTCACTTTTAATTTTTTTTTCTTTTTTTTGTTACTAGTACAGTGTTTGAAATTAATTTTCAAATTTTATTCTCTGTTGATCAGGGGGAAAAAAAAAAAAAGAAGTATCTATACAGTGTTAACGTGAATATTGACCACAAGGTGAACAGGATCCTCTTTTTTTGTCAGAAGCTTGCTTGTCAGCATGCTGGTGATAGATCAGATGTAAAGAAAATCACTTCTGCAAAACCAATTTGCTAAGGGGCTTGTAAAATCCATTTTTAAAAAGTTACTGAGGCGAAAAAGTGAAGGACCAGCCAACCAGATATTTTGATCGGCTCTTCAAGGTCAAAAACTGATTACTAATTCATCAAATATCTTACTGGTAGCACTGTTTGAAGAGCAAACAACTCTGTGCAGATGTTCTACCTAATAACTCTAATAACATGGAAAGATGGGTAAGGTAGGAACAAACAGAATTTTTTACTTACTTTTGGCAATGCTACAATCATAGGAGCTGTGGTCTTCAAAGCACTGGCAGCCCAGTTCAGTACATTGTCCATTGCCGTTACAGAAAACAGGACACCGGAGGACGGTGAGGATTTCCTCCTGGGTAGCAGATGGCTGGTTTCCTACGTGAAACACTCTGTTTCCTAGCACTCTTCTTTCACATTCATTTTCCAAAAGGGCTATCAGTGCCCTCACCCAAGCCACGTCATCTTTGAGCTGCAGATCTAAAAGGCATATATCAATTGCCTCATCCATCTGTTTTCCAAGAAGCCCTTTACACACTAAGCCAATGGTGGAATTTGCAAGAATTTGGTGGCAAATCTGACGAGCCTTGGTGGCAGTTAGGCCATTAGGAGTGGGCCATGCTAGTGGAACTTTTGTCCGAATCCCTTCAAAGTAATCCTCTGGGAAAAAATATGCAAAGCTCTCTGAGTATCTCTGGCTTGAACCATGCAATGGGTGAAAGGATGAGTATTCATAATAGTCTCCTTGCCTTTTTTCTCTCCTTAAGTCTTCTGTTGGTTTGTTAGAGTTAATGGAACTGGTCTTTTTCATGGAAACACTGTGTGCGAGGGGTTTTAATCGATCCTCGGAGCTACCTCGCTTTTGGACTGATTTAGGTAGATAGCTTTGATCAAAAGACTTGGTTGACATTTTTTCATCTTTTCTTAAAGTAGACTCTATTTCTGAGTGAGTGACAAACTCTGACGTAACATCTAGATATGGGATTGCAGAGGTGTAATCCACATGATCATAATGGCAACCAGAAGATTGAGGGAAAGGAGTCTGGAAGGCATTCAATGTGTTTACCATGGGCCGGGACTTAATGCTCTCCTTCTGACATCTGCAATAATTCTTCCTTTGCATCCCCTCAGAAGGTGCTGGAGTCTTGTCAAATAAACTCTTCCCTGGAGGTATTCTGATTTAAAAATAGAAAGAGATTAGAGGGAGGAAACTTTCAACAAATTAGTCTACAATACCAAGTAAACTTTTTTCCCTGAGGCTAGGGAATGTATAAATTCCCAATCAGCCAAAGTACTTAAGAAAATGCTCAAGTTTAATCTCTGTTTTCTTTAGTCACTTTTGCACTGCCCTTCTTGAGTTGTCCTGCACATTTTTTAGCACTACATTGAGACTTTTTAGTAACAGATGCTTAAGTGCTTTGCTGGCACGTTGCCTAACTGCTTGACTTCTCTTTGTAGAACTTTTTCTAAGGTGCAGGTTACCCTTTGCATCTTGCACATGAAACAAGGCCTTGGCTTTGTCCCTGGTGTGACTCAGATACAGCTTGGAGAATGATAAAAAAGACGTATTTGTTTCAAATGCTTTATTATGAAAATCATCTTTGTCTATTTGCCTGTGCTCTCCTTACCAGCTGTTTCCTCTAAGACTTGGATCACTAAGGTTTTTCTTTTAAATGTTTTTTCCTTTAAATTTTTTTTTTTTTAAATGCATGCCTCATTTCATTCTTTTCTTCTAATGGAGCTTTCTTTGAGCTTTTCCTTTGACACAAAGCAGTTTTCTATTGATCATAGGGCTAGGCTATCACATAAGGTAAGGTGATTTTTTTCCCCCCCTTTTTAATTTAGTCCAGCTTTAATGATGGATGAACTTATAGAGAGTTCAGTTTGAATAAACAGCCATGATTAAAGTTTCTTTGGAAATTTCATGAGCACAAGATCTCTTATTGATCTCATTTTGCAGCACAAGAGGAAGCCTGGAGCTTCATAGAAAAAGATATGCTTCTTATCCCAACAGTTGGCATCACTTTGTTTCCAGACAAATTTGAAATATCACCAAAAATTTAAATTATTTTGGCATTATTTTTTTCTTGCAGCCAGAATGTAGAGATTTCAGGAAAGTGTAAGCATTTGCCCACATTTTGGAGCCAGACACTAGACACTGTTGTAGGTAGCTCAAGTGCCTTTATCCAATTTTTTCCAATATACATTGAAAATGGCATATATAATATTATTATTTTTATCGATACAATACTACTTTTAAATAAAACATCACCGTGACACAGGCAAAATGAACCCATTTCTCTTTCTGAAACAGGAGCCCAGACATTCACAAAACCATTTTACCCAATGTGCGGGCGCAGCAGAATACGACGTGATACGACAGGACGGCTTTGTGCTTGCAGAAATGCACAAGCTATTCTGTGCTTTCCTACAGTCTAGGACAATAAACAATATTGGGTGACTGAGAGAGTACTGAAACGACCTCTAGTCCGTTGAGGAAGGCAGCTTCGGTGTTCGAGTGGGTGTCCTGCACGTTGCTGTCTCTCCAGCTCTGCATGGTGGTGTTACCTGCAGCTGAAGCTGCCCAGACTCGTGTCATGAACTAACTGTAAACCTAAATTAAGGTAGCAGAGCTAGCTTTTTCTTTGAGGGAACACTACAAAACTTAGAAACTTTAGGTAAATAGTGCATATTTAATAAATAAATAGAAATCATATAAGCTGGTCCAGGGTCAGGACAGAAATATAAAACAAAAATGAAAAATTCGGAAAAATTGAAATCTTTGACCTTGGTATTTTATTGAAACAAATTGCTTTGTTATTCCTATGTGAAACCAAATACCTTCTTTTGGTCAGCTCTGTTCAACAGGATGGGGTATATGGTGTGGAAAGGCTGGAGCAACTGAGAAGCCATTCTTCCTCACAGGCAAACACATCCTGACAGCACCTCAGTGAGCTGGGATGTGCCTTCTGTCCCCCGCATACGATGACTAGGCTATCATTCCTCTTAGCTGCCATTATAATCAAGGAAGAAGTAAAGACAAGCTTTTCAAACTGAGTTGGATGCTATTATAGAGAGAGAGTCCAAAATTAATAGCATTGCTGCTGATTTCTTAAAAGATTTGAAAAGCAATTTGAAAAATTTATTTTACCTGCTTAAAATATATGTTTTAAAATTCAGCTCTTCTTTGTCTGGATGCTGTTTAAGGGCTGTGATGGTCTAATGTTGTTTTATTGTTTAAAAGTGGCACTGGAAAGCTGATGTTCAGAACAGATCTGTGCCATTCAGATCCCTGCAGCTGCTTGAGAGGTGGGAGCAAGGGAAAGAGCTGAACATCTGCCAGATAGTGAGCACTCAGACTAGCTTCAGGTGCTGGAGAAAACCTAACATGCTTTCAGTGTTATTTAAAGTGAAATTAAAAACAGCAGCTGAAAAAATCACCCTCCAGGTTTTGTTTTTTACTGCATCATTTCTCTGTGGGTGGAACAGAGACCGATCCAGTCTCTTCTGGAGGTGACCTTAGACTTTCCATTGGTTTAGTTAGTTTTTAACCAGGTTCTGAAGGGTCCTTGAGAATCCATCCCTGGGAGTACTGCAAGGTGAAACTCATCATCCCCCTTGCCCTTCTCACTTAGCAGGAGCTTCTTCTCCCTTTCCTGAAGTATCTCCATCATATGTGCTAAGTGCTAAAAAACTCTTCACTGCTTTATAAGTATTTACTGTGCTTTGGCTTCTGATCTTTCAGCAAACTTGTGTGGAACAGGTCCTTCTAAGAATCTTGTTAGCCCCTCTTTGGGTAGTCAGCAGTTGGTCGTTCTTGCACCAAACTATTTCTACATTTGCCTTCCCACAAGCAAGCTCTGACTGATCCTCACAATATTAAGACGTTAAAGATGGCAGTTGACTTCTAAATAGTACAATTTGTAATGACAGGTCAAAATTGCCATTAAATAGCCATTATTTAAGCCCATTAAATATAACTAGAGTATTGCAGAGGTGCTTGTTAATTTTCTGAAATGCAATAGGTCTAAAATCCTATAGGATTGTGCTAAGTTCTCATGTACAGATTAAGTAGTATGTTAAGGTGGTTCACCTTATTTTTCTTTATTTGTAAAACATATTTCAGAAACAAAACTAGACAGTCAACCAAACCCATTTTGGTTTTGGGAACATCTATTAGGCACATTTAGAGTTCAGCAACAGGAATTAAAATGTGAGATAGGGATAGGGATAGGGATAGGGATAGGGATAGGGATAGGGATAGGGATAGGGATAGGGACATGTCAGAGCACCAGATTCCTGGCTTTGGTTCCAGACCACCTGCCTCATAAGGTGCAAGTTTTTAGAGCTCATTGTCATCATTAGTAGACTAGATACTAAGTTTTAGCATGGAACATATATTACCACACTTTGTCAAATCGCAACGTTTAATCTATACTCACACATTGTAATTAGTGTTCGGGAATAAAAGAACAAGGGAAATACCAAACCCTTAATTAATCCCTATTGTCAGTCATCTACGTTTTCTAGCGTGGGTGAGAAATGTATTTTTTTAACAGCTGAGTGGGATCTTAACACAGCTGTTAACATGACATCACTTCTGAATATAAAACTTCTGTCTCAGTAACTGCTTACGTGTACTGTGCTGGCTGAAAATTAAGCCCCCGTGCTATTTGGATGGTGATGGGTCTCCAGGCTTCCCTCACTAGATTAAGCAGATCTCTTGTCAGGTCATTAGGGGAGTACGTAATGAACTAAACCTATCAACACCCTTGAAACAGTGCTATGGAGCACCTCCTGGGCCGGGATCTTCTCTTGTTTTGTACCTCCACTCCTCTATGAAGTCTTCCTCGGGCACATTGCTGAGGTCGTTGTGACCGATCCCATCAAAGAGGCCACACAAACCTCTGGTGCTGTTGAAGTCGCTGCCCGGCGTCCTCACCGTCAAACCCATTCCCCACTCGCTCATGTCGGCTCGCACAAATGCTCCCGAAGGGAACAGGATCTGAAGAGGCAGAAGAAAACTCAGTTGGTTGAAGCCGTTACCAAGCTTTTTATGCAACAAAAAATGTCCCTTTCTATAAACAAAAATATCAAAGTAGGATGTTGGCAATGGGGGGTAATTTAAGATCACTTAGACACACTATAAACATTTATTCGTGCTATTATTTAGGTTGCTTTCAGATTCTATGGTACTAATATCTGATAGCATTACATAAATATGAAACTGCACAAGTACTTTTTAAATTAATAATTACATCCATTGAAATTTTCCCACTGGTAAGTTACCAGATAATTTTTGAAGTGACGTCCATGACAATAAGGCCACCCTTGTGTCTTGGCCTGGGAAATCATTTCTTTTAGATAAACTGCCAAGTCTGAAAAACAGCTTTATTCCCTCTGAAAAATCGTTTCATTTTCCAAGGCTGGATTACCCAGAAAATGATTGTGTTTTAAAGTGGATAAAGCAATTTTCTCATTAAAGAACTTGTGGTAGGCTTACATTGACCTTTAAAAGAAAAAAAAATCTTGAGGTTAAGACAAAGAAGTAACTGTGTGGATAATGGATTTTTCAGATTGGTGTCCCAACCAAATAATAGTAATAATAAAAAAATCTGTTCAACTGAAATGTGGTTTTGTTTGTTTGTTTTGTTGTTACAGGTAAAATGAAAATTATTTTGAAACTGATCTGTGCCAGGAGTGGGAGCAAGAACACTCTATCCTGATAAGTAACCTTAATATTTTTTTGGATCCAAAATTAAATGTTTTCAGTTAATCTTAAAAAGTACATTAAATAGTTGGAAACATCCCATTACAAAAATTTCAAAAGAATTATTTTCCTTTTTTTAAGTGACCCCTGCCTAAGTAGAATTCATTCAGCCAAATAGTGTCCATTGCTTTTCTTTCTTTCTTTTTTGGTCCTGTATAAGTTCCTCCCTACCAAACCTATTTATATAGGTGTGAAGAAGCAACTAGCTTATATTAGTATTTCTGTGCTGCAATCCAGAGTTTACATTTTGGCTGCACTAAATAATAACCTTGCCCATTTTAGCTTCCCAGTCATCATTTCAGGCGTGAGAATACTTTCTGAGGAGCTCTCCGTGAGTGATCTCCTCCTCCAGCTGAGCGGAGCAGTAAAGTGCCACTGATTGCAATAACAGTCAGGGACACTATATTTTGAACTCAGTCCCTCTGTGTTTTGATCAGGGCATTTAAAGCATCCTTTTGTCAAAAATTATTGGCCTTGGTGAATAATGGCAGTCATCACATAAAACCAGTTCTTTGAATGCATCAGAAAGTCTTGTCTGTACCTCCACCTTGGCTATATGTCTCGCTTCCCAAGGGAAGTTTAATAAAAAAAAAAAAAAAAAAAAAAGATTCACCAACAGACAGCTCAAATGACCTGATGAGTTAATTTTTTCTTGGTGGTTTAATAGGTAGAGCAGGAGAACTACAGTTGATACAGTGCTGGGTAGGATTTGATTTCCTTCTTCAGATTAACGTGTGCCCTCTAATCGCATGCTTTACTGCAGGGAGAAGCATTTCCTATAAAATCCTTGCAGTCAGGACTGCATGAGCTGCTTCAGTCTTCTGTGCTGTCAGGAACAATATTTCCAGGTGTGGATTTATTTCAGGAATTCGAAGGGCTGTAACCCTTTCTTCTCCTTTTCATCTGCCACTAAGGACCTAACAGCTGCCCAGGTTTTCTGTAACCCATCTGGACTTAACGCTGCTGATTGAGACACTGAAGAAGCTTTTTTGAGACCACAGTTTGCAGAGATATATAGTGATCGGCTGCTACCTTGCACAGAAAAAGAGAGTGACTTAACCCCATTCAAAGCATCAGCCTTGAACGGCACGGAGGATCCAGCTCCTGCGCTGCACGAGGCTGGCGATGGGCAACTGCCGAGCAAACTGGGATGCACCGTGCACAACCCCGTGATCACGGACCGTGTCCATTGCGGCACAGTTCCTACAGTTTCCCGGTCAGATCAGGGCAGGATTCATGTTTGTGTCCCTGGGGGTGTGCTGATTTGTTTCATCGAGACTTACAGGAGGTGTAAATGAGAATCGGGACTCCTTGCTAAGATTATTCTAGTAACAAAACAGTAATTATATTGCATTCAGTTGCAAAATGAAATGACAGCTCACTTCCTGCTTTTTCTCTATTCTGTAATTAACAGTCTTTCAATTACTACCTTACTAAGATCTATTCCAAGTGAGATCACAAGGAGAGCCAAGCACAGGCACTGCCTGCATCATTCTGGCTCTATTGTGGACCTATCTTCACCCAAAACGTTTCCTGGCAATAAAACTTGATGATACAACTCTAGGATAAAATTATCTTCTTGGCCATAATTTGTGGCTCTTCTCACCAAAGCCCCTGGTGCAGTCTGCTCTTCCAGTGATTTCACTGGATTAGTGTGGGTAAGTGATACTCATGCAAGGTATGTTGTGGCCATATATTTTTTTAGGCAAACACTTTAATTTATAACAAATGTTGCACATTTGCAGCTCATTTTCATGGCTCTTGGGGGCTATGTGGATCTGACTAATATTGCCTTACTGCTCCACTCTAAAACTACATTATTCTGCTACCTGTGATCTTTCCTTGAATATTTATATTGTAAGCTCTGCAAAGAAATTTCCTTCATGTGATGCGGTTGGGTAGTGTCTAGCATAAACAAGCTGAGAGCGGATTGCCGTACTGCAGAGAGTAAGTAACAATATTGGCTCTCCGCTAGGTCTCCGAGAAAATTCCGGCGATATTTGTTTTGTTTTGTTTTACAGTTGGTTAAACTAACACTTTAACCAGCTTCTTCCCTGCATCTTGTTTTTGGGTACATTTTGCTGCAGGCGCTCTTATGGCTTCAGATAGATATTTTTGTAGCAACTTCATTAATAATTCAGAAATATTAAACTCCCATTTTTAAAGAACTACAACGAGAGTACTCAAATATCCACGTACTGTTATTTTTCTCCCTCCGTAGGACTTTAGGATTTTGACATGTGGCGATGCCTCAGTGCTTTTGACGGTCAGCTGGGGTCTGCTCTCCCGAAAATGGCCATTGCAGGTGTCCAGCACCACGGTGTCACCCCCTTCTCGCGCAGCTACGCCGCAATTGCAGGCGGTGGCGGAGCGGAGACCTCCGCAGTCCCACTGCCGAACGTGCACTTCAAACGCCCGCGACGCGCTCCGGCACAAAAGGAAGGTGCCGATTTTATAGTTATCGTAGCGCCTAAACAGCAACGAAGAAGAAAAAAGAGGATTTAGAGACCTGGAGCATCCAGCTGTGACGGCTGCGTGTTGGTACTCAGACAACAGTGCTCCTTAATTAGGCCAGCGTGGCGGCCGGCCTTGAAGGAGGGAAAAATCAACACGTGGGGAAACGTTTCCCCGGCATCGTAAGCAAGGGAACGCCGTTGCAGTTGTTAGCTGGAAGTGCATAAGAATTCATGTGAAAAGCGGGCAGCTGTCTCCCAGCCGCTGCTACGGCAACGGGCATGGATGAAAAGGATAAACATTTGATAAAAAAGCGAATGGGAAAAAGTCCCTGCCTCCAGGCCTTAATAAATATGTTTTGGTTCTAACCGGATGCTTTACAGCGTGGTATTCTTCAAAGCAAAATCAGTGCTCAAATAACCTCTTCTGTGACTAATCACTAACTTTTACAAGGCTGGCTATGGCTAGGTGAATACTTCATGTGAAAAACAGGGATTCCACTGAAAACCTGTTAAAATGAAGTTGGTTTCCCCTGCCCCCCCAACAACTTCCCTGTAAGCACGACTTTCTAAATGCAATCAGCAGAGTGCAGTGTGTTGAACAGTTTGGGACTTCCATTCTTCTCTGTACAAAAAGTCCTTGCTCCATGTGAGTGAGGCCACGGGCAGAATAATTTTATTAACTTTGCAAGCGTCTCCCCTCTGCAGGACCCAGGTAAAGCTCCTCCTGCCTGCAGCCCTTTGGGTTTCCACAACAGGGACCTGCGAGAGGATCCTCCTTTGCTTGCTCTTTCTTTTCTCACTCCATAAGCTTGTCCCATTCTCACTCTATTTTATGTACAAAAGTAAAGAAAACGGTAGCTGTATACTTCTGGATTTTTCTCCTCACAAGCCAACATCTGCCATCTTTAAAAACGATGGATTATTCTACTTCCTTTTAAGGCACAGCATTTGTAAGCAATTAAGTACAATGGAAATTAATCTATAAGCTTACAATAATAAGTGTTATTCTTTTCTACAATAAAAAAAGAAAATATAAAAAGGAATTTATAAAATAACTAAACAACAGGATTTTTTTAAGCATGCAAATGTCAATATTTTTTTCAGTCTGTTAATGTTTTCTATACAGAGGAACAAATGGCTAAAGAACCAAGATTTTTTTTAGCATGTATATATCTGCATTTTATTACCCTTTAGAATAAAAGCCATAGAAAACTATGTAGCTTAAAACGCAGAAAGAATTTAAACTCCAATTGCTTTTCTCTGCTAGAAAACACATTTTACTTTATCTTTCATCTTGAAAAACTTAGTGAAGTTGGCCATAAAATGATAAGATTTTGAATGGTTCTGTCTCATCTTGTTTTCTAATCAAGTACATAAATCCTAAGCACACTGCACAGATGCTGTTGCTAAGATTGATTAGAACTAAGGAGAGCATAAAAACTAGATAATCTCTTTTAATATCAAGTACTAGCTCCATTTGGACATAGTATCATAGAATCATAGAATCATAGAATCATAGAATGGCCTGGGCTGGAAAGGACCTAGATCATCTAGTTCCAACCCCCCCTGCCATGGCCGTTCCCCCTTGTCCTGTCACTCCATGCCCTTGTAAACAGTCTCTCTCCAGATTTCTTGTAGGCCCCTCTAGGTACTGGAAGGCTTGTCATGAGGTGTCGCTGGAGCCTTCTCTTCTCCAGGCTGAACAACCCCAACTCTCTCAGCCTGTCCTCATAGGAGAGGTGCTCCAGCCCTCTGATCAGCTTCGTGGCCTCCTCTGGACTCGCTCCAACAGCTCGATGTCTCTGTTGTACTGGGGCCCCCAGAGCTGGATGCAGTACTGCAGGTGGGGTCTCACAAGAGCGGAGTAGAGGGGCAGGATCCCCTCCCTCGACCTGCTGGTCAAGCCTCTTTTGATGCAGCCCAGGACACGGTTGGCCTTCTGGGCTGCTAGTGCACATTTCCGGCTCATGTTGAGCTTCTCCCCCACAACAATTCCAAAGAGACAAGGATGTCATGTGGGACAGTGTAAAATGGTTTGCACAAGTCCAGGCAGGGGCGCGCCCCCCCCCCCCACCCTGCGGGTAAAGCCTCTTTTGATGCAGCCCAGGACACGGTTGGCCTTCTGGGCTGCTAGTGCACATTTCCGGCTCATGTTGAGCTTCTCCCCCACAACAATTCCAAAGAGACAAGGATGTCATGTGGGACAGTGTAAAATGGTTTGCACAAGTCCAGGCAGATGACATCAATTGCTCTTCCCTCATCCACCAAGTCTGTAACCCCACCATAGAAGGCCACCAGATTTGTCAGGCATGATTTGCCCTTAGTGAAATCATGTTAGCTGTCACCAGTCCCCTCCTTATTTTCCATGTGCTTTAGCACAGTTTCCAAGAGGATCTGCTCCGTGATCTTGCCCGACACAGAGGTGAGACTGACCAGTCAGTAGTTCCCCGGGCCTTCCTTTTTTTTTCCCTTTTTAAAAATGCGGGTTATGTTTCCTCTTTTACAGTCAGTGGGAACTTCACCAGACTGCCATGACTTAAATGGATGGAGAGTGGCTTAGCAACTTTATTCGTCAGTTCCATCAGGACCTGTGGATGCAGCTCATCAGGTCCCATGGACTCGTGCACCTTTCTGTTCCTTAGATGTTCCAGAATCTGATCTTCTCCTACAGTGGGTGATTCGTCATTCTTCCAGTCCCTGCCTTTCCCTTCTGTGACTTGGGTGGTATGGCTAGAGCACTTGCTGGTGAAGACTGAGACAAAAAGGTCATTGAGTACCTCAGCCTTCTCCATATGCTGGCTAACCAGGTCTCCTGTATCCTTCCAGAAAGGGCCCACATTTTCCCTAGTCTTCTTTCTATTACTGATGTATCTATAGAAGCTTTTCTTGTTGCCCTGGACATCCCTGGCCAGATTTAATTCTATCGGGGCTTTTTCTTTCCTAACCTGATCCCTGGCTACTCGGACAATTTCTCCCAGGCTACCTGCCCTTGCTTCCAGCCTCTGTGTCTCTCTTCACAGGAGAGACAGAGGAGACAGGATATTTTATGAGAATCACATTCCACAGATTCCTTCAAGGGGGGAGCTTAGAAGGAAAGGTATTTAGAGAGCTTGATGGAAAATAATGCACCAGAATGGCTGTACCCACACTGATCAGCTGTATCTGGTAAATAAGACTGTATGAGCATATGCATATATATCATTGCAGTTACAGGAGCTGTTTACTGCTTAATAAGCATTGACAGCGGACCCAATCCAACTCTCCTGGAAGTCACTTAGAGTCCTTCAATTAAGTCATGGCATAGATTGCATAGCATATAATAAATCTGCAATGTGTCTAAATTGAAGCTTTCAGCTGCCTTTGAATTACTTGAATGGATAATTGAATGTAGTCAGGTAAACTTTTGTGATGTTTATACAACTGTAATTGTGGTAATGATTCTTTGGAAAACATTTGAGAAATTGCTTGTGGCACTAAAAGCATGAAGTAGGGTTACTGGAGCTCTTGCACAGGGGAGCTCTGCGTGTTCTCTGTGAACCAGGCACCACTGCTTGTGTCTAAATTGCCTTTCACAGTGCACTTCTCCATCCTGATGCCCTAATGGTCTGTAGCAATGGATGTACTGAGTGGAAAGTTTTTCCGTCCCCATCTATGTGTTTGGGTTGTTTTTCAATGAGTGCATCAAGTTCTTGTCCCATCATGAAGTCACAGATCAAGTTGTGTGCTTAATCAAGGAATCACAAAATGCTACTAGTAGCGTTAGATTAACTAACACAATACACTTAGTATTCACCAAGCTACACTTCATCTTTTTATTAATTCAGGTATTATTGTGGCTGCTCCTAAAGTTTTTCCACCACAGTTTTGCCACTAAATAATTTAATTTGTTGACATGTCCCTCCAGGCTCCCTCTTTCCTTGCTAGTGAGAACTCTTTTGAGCTAGTTGTGACCCTAGAAGTGCCGGGTGATGCTGGAGGAAGTCCTCTGGTTTCAGAGCGGTCATCACTGGGGACTGGCTGCGCTGTTCTCAGGGAGCGAAGCTGTTGGGTTATGTTCAACAGCTACTGGATGCTTGAGGACATATAAACTTCTTCTACAGATCATTAAAAAGAACAGAAAGAACAACACCTCTGGGAGGGCTGCTCATGCCCAGGACTTAGTTGTGGCTACTATGATGAATGCCATTATAACCCACCACAAATGCTAAGCTGTGCAAGCTGAGGGACTTTGTCATTGTGCAGGAAATGATGTCATTTCCCCTGTGATAATATTGATGGATAGATTAGCATAAATGTTTGAGAAGTCTCAAGTATATTTTTTCTAAGTTAAAATGTAAAATAATATGAATGATATATACAGTTCACCAATCAACAAGTATTTCCCTTTTCATATTTTGCCTTAAAAGGATTTTCTGCATATTTAGTTTTAAGCTAGTTCTTCATATTTAAAGATCTACAATTTATGACATGAAAAGCTTTTATATTTATAATGTGCCATAACTAGTAATGAGGGCTATACTTTTGCTTTACCAGGCTTTCACGTTTGTTTAATTTAGATGGTACTTTGCTATAAAAGGAAGTGCTCTCTCTGGATTTTAGCTAGTACAATTAATGCTATTTCACATCTATGCTCAAACATACACAAATTGATTGTGCTTACACTGTAAAATATGACACATTCTGCTTTGATTTTCAGCCACTTCCTTTGGTCAAAAGAATGAAAAGATTACAAGATAAATATTTCTAAAGAAATATATTAGCAAGAGGCATGCCAAAGGGGAGTGTTATCATTAGAAGTCAGGTATTTCAGTTATTTGATGAATAGCTAACCACCTCGGATGTAATGTGAGCTCAGTATGTCAGAATAAAAATAATTGAAAATACCGCTATAGAAGTTACAAAATGAAGTATTATTGTGAAATCCTACAAATCAACCTATACATTGGAAGTGACTGCTTCAGTAGGAAAATTTTACTATCGAAGAAGAAATATCTTCCAGTCTTTTGATTTTCATGCCATTTTTCAATTTTCCAACAAAATCTGCCAAAGAAATTATTAGAAGCAATATTTTTAAATTAAGTTAAATTTTGATGAGTTTTGCTTTTCATTTAAATTTTGGAAATTAAAAAAGTTACAAATTCCATTTTCGAGTCTGCTCTCATCCTTGCTTTTCGCCATTGTGCATTTTTCCTTCTCTTTGCCGTTGTTAACGGGGAAGTAAAAAAAGGTAAGCATCTCTGTGAAAGGCAGGAGTATGTTTACGTACATGCCTGTTTGCGTAGATAACACTCCTACCATTTTGCTGCTGGCAACGTTCCCCATCTTCAGACCTTCCCTTGCTTTTCATGTGACAGCCCTTCAGCGAGCCATCCCCAGGACGTGTGTGGGTGGAAAGAGTGCAAAGAGACAACTGATCACCACCCATCCATAGCAGCTCAGCCTACGATGTTTTGATCTTAGGGTCTGCTGTCTCCCAGTAAGCTAACCTACAGGCTTTGTGGTGGAACAGATGGATTTCCTTGGGTTATATTGTTTGATGGATGTCCTGCTGTTGATGTCAGAAGCAGTTTTGATAGTTTATTGAGCTTTATTTGCTCATCTTTGTAACCATATAGAGATGGGTGAGGATTACTATTTCCTTCAGTTCTCTTTGACTAATTTTGACTGTTCCTTTTCTTTCCTGTGTAATGTTCTCACCTGAGCCTGTGTCTACAGATCACTTACAGTTGATGTAGCTCCTGAGGCCCAAGACCTCATGTTCCACTCATCCTCTCAACCTATTACTTCATAGTCCCTAGGAGAAGTTTCTTTTAGCTTTTTGTCTTCTCTTGCTTCGCTCTGTACAATCTGCAGATTTTGGTATTTTTTTATTCCTGTGGGATGCTCATGTAGTATCTTAACTGAGCCCACGACCTTTTTGTACAATGCTTCCACTCATGATACCTAACGCACACCTCATTTCAAACACAATTTCCCACCACATACCTTTCATGACCAAAGGGGAATGCTTCAGTTCCATACCTCTATATCAGCCTTTCTCTTTAGGTTACAGGTTTGTATCAGGACAGAAGCAGGAATTGCATTCCCCACTCCTTAGATACAGAGCTTTAAAATCATTTGCTAATGTGTTAACATTTTTTGGATAGACAGAGAGAGAAGTTGCTTAACTGATGTGTAATAGGGTGGCATAATCATTACAATAATTGAAAGAGAAATTATTTACAATAATAAATGGGAATATAAGTAGGAGTAATGGAACTGTGAAATGATGGGTAAGAAACTTGGCTGAATATCAAGGAGTGATATATCTTAGTGAAATAACCGAGTTATTGAGATGGCAGAAGCCCCATCAACTTGGCTCATTTAAAGCTACACTGGACAGAGCAGTAATGAGCATCCATCCACAAGGAAGAAACGTGCAGCTATCGAGGGGCCAAGCTAATACTGGGATTTTTTTGTTTCAAGGCTGTGTGACTCTAAGGCAGGGTGCCACAGAAGGATGGGCTTTTCCAAACTCCCTATGCTCAAATAGAATCGTAAATTGCTTAGAAGCATTTCTGTGTGCTATCAATAACAGGGTTGGGAAATGAGTTATTAAAATAAAATGCTTTATTTTATTTTAGACCTTTTCTTCCCATGGAAGCTATGTGAAAATGTACTATGTGGCTGAGAGCGTTCCCCCACTCCAAGAGGCACTTTTCAGTAATTCATGACTTCCTAAACACAACAACCTGGCAGATCACTGTCCATTCGTAGCCCTAAATCAGAAGGGAATATTTTAGAATGTAAATATACAGAAGGTTTTGAAATCATTTTCTAATCTAGTTGAAATAATTGCAGATACCATGAGGCATGGGAATATCTTTGCACCTCTTGTAGCTCTTCCGCAGCTTCTACATGTTGAGCAACCAAACATGTAGGAAACATGTGCCTGCCCACATTAAAAATGGTATTTGGCAAAGCAGGAGGGAAACTGGGAAGCCCTTGATGTGCAGAGGTAACTCCCTAGCTGAGACTACTCAGTTTAGGTGACATCTTCATTTGGGGCAAATGTATAACCTGTAATGGAGGCACTGCCTTTCTCCCTCTCATTTCCTCGACAGATTTCTCCAGCTTTGACGCCATTTCAGATGCTACCTCCAGAGCATGCTGTATTGAAACGGGGACATTAGGATATCAAAATTAGAATATCATGCCTGCCAAGCCCCTGTGGACACTGTGTGCCTAAAGTCATTATCTGTGCCATTAGGAGGTTAACGGCAGAATGACAAACCCGGAATGTGATCTGAAATATTAGCAACTTTGGATCAAACATGCCAGATGCAAACTTCAGAAACTTTCTGTTATGTTAAAGAGCTGGGGTAGATGATAGACTCATGAATGATTAGGGAAGCTAACTGAAAAAAAGATCTATACAGTACAGGTTATCAAACACAAAGATACCAGCTTTGGTGGACTAAGTCTTTAAGCAACTTATTGCTGGATAATATAGGAGGACATATGGACAATACAGGAGGACATACAATTTTATTTT